TTTATTTGAAGTAAGAACTATAATGAATTTTTTATTAGACATTTCTTGTTGTACTTTCGAAACATTTTTAAATTTAATGGACTTGGGTAGTTGTATTTTGTGTTAAATTTTTGCATTAGTTACTTTAATAGAGAGAGAATTTAAAAAGAATTCGCTAGGTACTACTTTTAATTTTCTAGGATCTATATAAGTATGCATTTTACCAATTTCTCTAGTAATTCGACAATATTTTTTAATGAAACAATAACAAAAGCGGTAAAACAATTAGGTATTCAGTTTAATTAGTACTTATTATAAGTTCTTCGAATAAACTAAGAGGACTTAATGAAAATAATTCTTCATTAGTACTAATGACAAGTACTTTATTTTTTCATCAGTTTTTGCATAATAATTGATAAAGTTGTAATGTTTTTAATTCCATTTGTAAATTACCACTTGTTTCTAAATCTCAATTTCATTGAAGTTATCGACGGTGTAGGAATAGTGTAATTAACATATGCACTAATTAATTGTATCTGTATGCGCAATATTTATAATATTGAGGAAACCTTTGACGTAGAAAATCAATTTATATAGTCACATGTGATAACAAATTATCTGCCAAAGTGTTATTGTTTACAAAAGACGCTTTTTGTTTATAAACAAAGAACAGAATTCAAAATGAGTAGAAAGAAGTTCAAGCTTTTTTATAATATTTGTCATTTGATAACAATTTCGCGTTTTTTTAAATGTTTATTAGCTCAATAAGGAAATGTGTTATTATAAATCACTCAATCTAAGGATTTTCTTAGCATTAATTAAAAAGTTAGACCTATCAGGAACCAGGTGCTCTAATTTAGCTTTAACCTTTGCCCCTTCACGATAATTTCCACACCCTTGTAATATAAAAGGTCCTTTTCTTGATTGAAACGTTTTAGCTAATATAATCACTGTCTAAATTGATTTAAGTAAGGATGAATCCTGACATTAAGGTGACACACCTGAAAGGAAAATAATGCTATCAGTTTTACTGGAATATAAATCTTAACAGCGAAGGGGGAACATTTAGATAAAAGGGTTAATAAAATTAACGGATAATTAGTTAGACACAAAGTATAATTTAAGATATAAAACATAAAAAATAGAAACGTTTGACTGCAAGAGTAGTATTTCAATTTGCAAAACAAGATTTACTTTTAGATTGTAAGACTGCAAGAGCAAGACTTAAGCTTAGTGTGCAAGATCAAGATTTAGTCTTAAGTTTAGCCATAAGACTTGACCTGATAAGATCAAGACTTAATCTGTACTTAAGTACTTATATTAAATCCAAAAATTACATATAATCTGCAAGATAAAGACTTAATAATCTGCAAGGTCTGGACTTAAATGCAAGAAAAAGTCTTAATCTTTATTTGCAAACCTAATCTGCATGACGATAAACTATACCACCAAGAGAAAGATTTAATCTGCAAGATTAGCTCAATATCTGCAAGATGAAGTCTTAATTTTAATTTGAAAAACTAACGATAAGACTTAATCTGCATGATCACAAACTACTCCATACTTGGAAGACTTTCTATAGGTTTTGTGGTAGAAAATAAGTGAAATTAAAGTAAAAGTAAAAGACTTTGAGGAGACAAATACAGTTAAAATAAGATTAAGAACAATACTAATAATATGTAGGAAATTAAGAATGAAGATGATCCTAGACAAAAATTTTCAATCTCTCTCCAGTCTCTCAGTCTTTCAGAGTCTTTCAGCGTCTCAGAGAGCGTCTCTCACAGTCTTTCACAGTCTCTCAGTTATTGCCTAGGTGTTTTTATGGATCTCTCACAGTCTCTGTATAAGAGACTCGAACAATAAAGTTGTTAATTCAGAATCTCTCGTTCAGAGACGCTAAACAGTTTTTTTGACAGTCTCTCTCAGCGACACCAGAGAGACTTTGAGAGACTGAACATTTTCATCTCGGGATGAAGAACATGGTGGTTTTGGTTTTGTATTTAATCATTACCAAGTAAACATACGGTTCCTGTACCCGAGAGATCAACTTTAATTACATTTTGAAAATAATGGATGAAATGATACGTAGTTTAGGTCTTTTAGTAGAAGATGCGGTTGTCGGGAATGAACCGTTTAAATTGTATTTTTGCCGGAAAGACCTGTTAACTTATAATCCTTTATGAAAAGATTAATGGTTCTTGTTTTGGGACGGGGATTATAAATGAATCTCGGACGGTAGCTGCAAATAGTATCGTATTTTTCACAGCTTACACATTGTAAATTATTAAAAATTAAAAATTGTTGCTTCCTGTTTATCATGAAACTTGGCAGTTAGACATTTTTATTTTCTTTTCGGCATAACACTGGAGCGCAGTAAATTAAATTGATTCATGCATATTCATTCAATATTGTTTGTATTTTTGAAAAAGATCTAACCCGTTTATTTAGAAAACGAAAAACCAATAAACGAAATCGAATATAAATTTGAAAACAAAATTTAGAAACCAATATTTATGAATGGTAAACATGAATATTTATAAATATTTGAAGTAATTTTCTATTTTTTAATCCTTTACTGCAATTTCATTGTTTATTTAAATATCGCAATTAAATTACAGATATTTTTATTTGTCAGCGAATTTTTTATAGTTATTTCGAAAAAAAATTAACTGAATAATGTGCTGCATCTCAAAATTCGCTACCAATAAAAAGATTGCACCAGTTTTAAATGGAACGATTGTCTACACATAATCTTCATGAGATAGACTTAATCTGTAAGATCAGGACTTAAATGCAAGTCTTAAACTTAGTCTGCAAACCTAACGATAAGACTTAATCTGCATGACTATAAGCTATACCACTGAAAGGATTATAAATAATCTGAAATAGATAAACTTAATCTGTAAGAGCAGGACGTAAATGCAAGTCTTAATCTTAATCTGCATACTTAATGATAAGACTTAATCTGTATGACCATAAACTACATCACTGAAAGGATTACAAATAATCTGAAATAGATAAACTTAATCTGTAAGATCAGGACATAGCTGGAAGAAAAAGTCTTAATTTTAAATTGCAAACTTAACGATAAGACTTAATATGCAGGACTATATGCATATTACATACAACCTGCAAGGTAAGGACTTAATCTGTAAGTTCAGGACTGAAATACAAGAAAAAGCGTTAATCTTAAGTCACAAATTTAATCTGCAGGACCATAATTGATATTACTAAAATTGCGTTAATTGTTTTTTGTTGATAACAAATTTTGTGAAGTACTAGCACAATTAAGGACAACTGTTTTTATTTTTTAAAAATGGCGTGGCCAAGATTAACATGTTATTATAATTTCAGTAAATTTAAGATTCCTGTTTTACAATTTGTCGCACATTTATCAAACAAAGTATACATGATATTGTGATTTGAGTTTTTCGATAGTAATTAAACTTATATGGACTTTATGGACTACCCACGCTGTACTATATAAGGAATAATAAGCGTACATAAAACTTAATAACATGCAGTTTCATCCCTAGCTAAAAATAAACCTTTATTGAAACATCTATTTTCAAACATATGCTTCAACAACACACATATGTTTGGATAGTTACTTTAATTGAATATCTGGTTACACTAAATTTACTTTTGCTTTACATTATTTTAAAGGAATTACGAAATTAATGCAGCAATGTTTTTTTAGTCAGTTATTTTAGTGTAGCAAATCTTTGGCTAAAATTTGTAATAAAAACAAACGGATACGAGGGGTTGTCGTACTTTTAAAAGAATACCTTCACAGACAGGAACTGATTTTCCTGTAATACGAGAAGTTACGATGTCAGATGGCTAAGAAACAAAATATGTTGCAGGAACTTAAAGAACCATCAGGGCGAATTGTCTTTTCTAATAAGGGTAAATAACATTCGCGAAAGTTCCGGTTGATTGTATATATATATACTCTCCATACTACCAAGTTTTCAATTCTTGCTTCTTTTATTAATAATATTGAGTAATGGTACCGATAATTTTTTTGAAAATGGGAGAACGATATCGTAAGGAATTTTCACTGTTCCGGCTTCTCGTTTTCTCACTATTTATGTATCCTGTCTTTAATTTGCTGTCTTATGTCGCATATCTGACACAAAATACAATCATCACGCATATCTAATTAGTTCCAGAAAGCTACTCAAAGTGTATCGATTGATTTCCACGGCAGCTGTTTATTCACGGAGCCGCCGTATCGATCGCAGCCTGCGGCGTTCGTTTGTAATAATGAATCATTAAAAATCATCATCATATCATTTTGAAATGAATAAAAAACGTTTTTCAGCCTTTCAAAGTTATTATGCGTATAATGTTTGATTTAGTTAGTCGTTGATGAAATACTTAAGCTTCTTTCTTAATTCATTACACTTTCGAATGGGTTGAAGGCAAGCGTTTAAAACATCTAAAGAAGAAACAAGTGCATGCCATGTAATTAAACCATCTGCGTATAATCCACAAATACATATTTTCATTAAGCCATTATTCTGTTCATCCGAGGGCAAGAAACTCGCGTCAAACTAATATAAGGAGAATTCGCGACAGTGTTTGAACCAAATAAACTACTGTGTAATAATAGCCCATAAAATTAGATCGTTGCTATTCTTGCGGGGTGAATTAATTCGAAAGTGTTAAGTAGGTCTAATATAAGTAGGAATTCTTCAAGTCAACGTCGATTTGCATAGTTATATTAATCTTAGCTTACATCATACAAAAATATGCGTTGTAAACATGAGGGTCAATGTCTTGTTTTATTATTTTGTTATTTTCATTTACTGATTTATAGCCAAGCTTACTCGAAGAATTCCATTTGTATTTGTCTGTGAAATACCTAAAATCCACTTGTAAAATCGAAATTTAAACTTTAGAGTTAATAAATTATAAAAACCAGCCGACAATAAGATCTAACAGTATAATAAATCCAAAAATCGATATTAAAGTTTGAAATCAAAACATGTAAAGTGAAGATAAAAACACTTTTTAAAATTGGGATCACCACTAGTTTAACTGGTAAAATATTGTGTATGTAGGGATCTACTTATAAAACTGATTGTGAGATCAAAACTTGTACAAACTATTCTAAAACCGAATAAAATAATTCGAAGTGGTCTGTATTCTGTCGAAATTGCCAGACGCGGATCGCGATTTCGATCTTTTTGGATCTCATCAGCGCGTCGCATACAGACCACTTCGAATTATTTTATTCGATTAAGCTAACGTGCCTATCACGTTGAGGTTGGCTACGCCGGGATTCGTTTTCAGCAAGTAGATATCCACACAAGTGGACCTTGTTGGAGCATACGTAATCCCAAAATGTAGCATCGTGCACAGATGGCGTTTACTGCGCCATTTGTAGTATATTCTAAAACCGTATATAACTTGCAAAAAATTAAGAATCAAATATAGCAAAAGTTACAGGGATCAAAATCGTATGTTATTTGTAAAAAATTTGAGATTGAAGGAATTTGACGAGAAGTTGTAAATCTCCTGTTTAACCGGACTTATCTTATTGCTTTGTTTATAGAGAAATAAGTGCACTTATGACCGATTATGCAAGATTAAGACCATAACAAGGACAAAAAGGATTTGCCTTGACCTTGACTTTGTTGGTATATTAAATCTAATTCTTTACAGAGTATAGAGTGTTATTAAAAAATTCTATTTTTCTCATCAAAACAGTGAGAATTCAGGTAAAATAACTAAAATAAAAATTGAATAAATGAATAGGACAAGTTAATTAATTATAATGCTGTATTTTGCGTATTTTCCTTAATTATCTTAATGAGACTTGGCTCGTTTGTGAGAAATTGTTATTAATTAAGCGGTTTCGTGGTACATAGTAGAAGTTCTTAAACGACAGGCTTTTGCTTCTTAATTATATCATTCAGTAAAACAACCGTTTTTATTCCAGGTCGTTGAATCTATTTACACGACTTCGGGTTGAAAAATGCCCAAGACGGAACCCAACAGGGACCATATTCATAAGGTAATATCACAAGAAAAATGAGAAACTATATACATATTATTGTGAATTATTAATGCCTACAAAATGCGCGAATATTACAATTTAAATTCTGAGAAATAAATTTTCGAAAGACCAGAAAAATAAATAAATGCTGGAAAATGACGCTGATTTTTCATCAATTAATTTAATTGTGTAACAGTGCGTAACATCAAGTAACGAAATATGCAATTTTTATATAACTTTTAATTAAAATGATAAATGAAAGAACAGAATAAGTATTAGATAACGATTTCGATAAATCTATATACTTGCAAGTTTTAGTTACAATTACCTTACAATTGAAATGTGTTATTTTGGGGATTTTGGACAAAAATGGACATAATATGGTCTGGTGATATTTGTGGAGAAGTTGGTTATTCTATACTTGAAAACAAACGCCTACTACATGGGCCTTTATGTCATAAAATAACCTTAACGACGCGAGGTGTAATAAAATGTGAAAACTAATATTTACCAGAATTTCCTATAGTTTTTTACTGACTTTTCTTACTCTAATTTTTATTGTAAAAAAAATAAATTAAACGTACAGTGTAATCCACATACCTAGAGTACCTTTTTTTATATTTTTGAGTAGTTTGCAGTAGGGAGTAAATGTTTTCAGTACGTGCTTAACATAGTAGCAGTAAAGGTCTACAGATGGTGGTATATTGTCAATTACTTGATGCTATTATACCATCAAGAAATCGATCCTTACAACTGTTTCATCAATAAGTAAACGTCGGTGATATTCAAGACACAAATATAAAAAGACAATTTTGAACGTAATTTTAATTTTGCTTTGTAATACGTAATTGTACATATTATCATTCATTATTTATCTTGCAACGGAATTGTTAAACGAAACTCCATGTCGCCAATGAAAAAGATATAAAATTAAAGTCTTACGACCGGCTTTATTAAAGTGATAGACATTATGTAGAACTGATGTGAAATAGTGCGTTCCACAGGCGTGTGCATAATTTAACCAAACTTGAAGCAAGCACGCGCAGCAACGTGTTTGGCGTGGATTTCTGTACAAACCATTCTTCGAACTACACAATTCGGCACAACACGACGTCAATATAAATTGTAAATTAGAATGGAGCTTAGATTTCCTTTCTGTCGGATTCTCTTTGGCCCTTTTGTACTAATCGACCGTGAACTTTATTCTCTTCATGAATAAAGGAAGATATTCAAATTTGGAAGAACGAGTTGAATATGACAAGATGCGGGCCTAATTGAGGTCTTTATTTAATTGAGAGCATCCTTTTTTTTTTGCTTCTTAAATGATTGTTATAATTAGTAACAAAAAATAATGCAATTATTATATTGGTTGATGAGGATCAAATTTTATCCCAACATCATCACCCCCGTTATGTCACTGTGAACAGATTATGTAAATTAAATGACTTAAATTTAATTGGTTGTTATTGCTGTCTATGATTAATCTTAATTGTGCTCCTCTGACTTAGATGTTGTAGTAGTTCATCAATTATAAACAAAAGTAATAAACATTCATAAAAATTGATCATTCTCATCAAGAAACGTATAAAACATTTAGGAGTAGCAGTACATAGGTACGAGACATTTAGAACAATTAGCGTAACTTCCCATGCTTCAAAAATGGTAACAGAATTGTACAGAGAAGGATGGAAAAAGGGGGTGAAGAACTATTAGGGGAAGATCAATTTGGGTTTAGAAGAAACAGAGGAACGCGGGAGGCTATTCTAGCTTTACGGGTAACAATAGAGAAAACGATAGAGAAAGGAAAGAGCGCGTACATAGGATTTGTAGATTTAGAAAAGGCCTTTGACAATGTTAAATAAGACAAGATGTTAAATATACTTAAAAATGTAGGGATGAGTTAGATAAGAGATAGAGAAGAGTGATACTTAGTTTGTATAAAGAGCAACAGGCAGAGCCGGAGCTGCAACGTAATATTAGGAAGGGAGTCAGACAGGGATGCACTTGAGTTGTCAAAGTGAAACTAAAAATTGAAAAAAATCTTTGTATTATTCTCAATTTTGGTTAATGAAAATTTTAATTTCTTGTTCTAGAACATGACCCACAATGGTGAAAGTTTCAATATAATGGAGGCGATTACAACTTCATTTCGGAAAAGAAAATCGATAATTATATCAAAGTGTTGTGCATTAATTTTATGTTGTGCTTTTTTGGTCTCTCTGGTGGCGACCGGATTGATTGTTTACAGTGCCGTATCTTGTGAAAGCGCCGATAGAAACATAGTAAGAATTCTGGAGAATCCCAGCAGTCGCAAATCATCGCCAGTCAGGGAAACTGAACCAACAACTTCAAAAACAACAACAACTTTGGACTCCCTTACAAGCAGTATTGAAATTTCTACCTTATTTACTACCATTTCTCCAACCAGTATTCAAACTACTTCTAAAACAGATGGTTTAACATCTAGGCAATTAGATGTGAGATTGCCGAAAGACGTTGTTCCCCGTTCTTACGAAATAAAATTGATCCCGTATATGCTAGAAGGAAATTTTACGTTTCAGGGGGAAGTATCGATACTATTGAATATTATATATGATACATACAGTATAACATTACATTCTGATGATTTGGTGGTTCGAAACGTGCTAGTATACAGTGCTGTCAATAAACCGTACAGAAACGAAAAAAACATTCCTGTTAAAATCGTTAATTTCGATCGTAAGCGTCAGTTTGTCATAATCGAACTGAACGAAAAATTACAAGCTGGCATCGAGTACTATTTAGAAATTCAGTATACAGGGGAGTTGAAAGATGTCTTACAAGGAATTTACAGAAGTTCGTACACGGCAAATAACAAAACATGGTAAGTTTTGGCACATGTCATAAATCTCTCGCCACAAAAAACCGAATGAGCCATACATGCTTATTTAAATTCGATCTTTATTTCTGTTTTTTAATATCGCAAAAGTTTGAGAATGGGCAGTTTATGACGTCATCTTTGAAGTTGTACAAAATGACAAAAACCTTCTCATTGTTGCTTACCTTTTTTCTTGACGGATGTGATTAAGATTATAAGGATACGGTAGGAAAAGACAACACTAACGATGCAAGTGTAGTATTTTTTGTTTATTGTTATTATTATTTTGGCTATTTAGGTTTTGTTGGTAGCATTGTTACATTCAAAGTTCACTTCGTAAACTGCACTTTTACCTCGCCACGTAAGTTAGAATGTACAGTACATGTTTGAGTTAATTCAACCATTATCTTTGTTGTTTCTTTTCGACAAGGGTACTTATTTTGGTTTTAATCCAAATGCTACATTTTCTAATGAAAATTCTCATAAAACTTGTCGAATTAACTTTGAAATATATAAAATAAAGCAGTGAAATTAATGAGAGCTTTTTGATTTATTAAGTGTACTTTGAAGTTTGTTTCAAAAGAGAAAGCTACGTTTATTTTTCTTCACAAATTGTCAACAGGTGGATTGCTGCCACACAATTTCAGCCCACAGACGCACGAAGAGCTTTTCCGTGTTTTGATGAGCCAGCTTTGAAAGCTCGATTTAAAATCAGCATCGCCAGACCGAGAAACATGAATTCGATTTCGAACATGCCCAAGTTGGGAAGTAAATCTGATATAGTGTAAGTGAGAATTATTGCTTGAAAATATCCAGTTAGTAGTAACTCTAGAAGTCGTAAATACGAAGGAAGATGCAAAGATGAAGACATATTGTTCTAAATGCCCTTATTAGGTCATCAAAAATTCTTGAAACATTGCTGTGTTAATATTCGTTGCATAAACCATCTAAGTTAAACTGCTTGGAAATTAAAAATATTACAAATTTAAGTTTGAAAGATAAAAATTACGTCGATGAAATTGAGAAAAAGCAGATTACTAAAAGGATTCAATATTTCGTTTCGATATCTTTCAAGTGTAATTATTTTTGAAACTTGCTACGAAATACTTAAATATATTTTTAATTCCACAAGGTCTAACCTTCCCCAAGGATTAGATATGTTGCGCAATGCTTTTCAAATAACCGAATATTTTTGACTAAGTATTATTTATTTAACGCTATTTTGACAATTTGGCAATATCCTGAATATGAATGGGGCCCCGAAATTAATTTATTATTCAATATGCTTCCTTAGGCACGTAGCCAAAATGAAGAAGAGTTATCATAATCTGGTCAATAAAATATTTTGAGTTTTGAGAACCTAAATGTAACGTAAACCGTTGGTGTTCTCCGTACTTATAAACAATTTTATTTTACGTATTTCGTGCAACGTTTTACTAATGAGTCGATAAATCAAACATTTTACAAGCAAGGCTGTCAGCGATTTTCATAAAAATCAATTATTATTACGTACCCAATGTACCCAATACAATTTCAAAAAAGAAGTTACATGAAAACGTTTAAATACATCATTAGAAAAGAATTTTAACAGGCACGAACACTTGTTAAAATAATAACAAAAAGAGATATTTTTGGGAAAGAACTGTTTGTTTTTAAATTGTTACATTTTCTTTGCACAACCGTTTTTCGTAAAGAGGCAATTTCTAAAGTGTAGTTTTATTTCGGTAACATCAACAGTGTTGGCATGCCTGGGTATGAGTGGGATCACTTTGAGGAATCACTTCCAATGTCCACGTATTTGGTAGCATTTGTTATATCCAATTTTGAGAAAATAAGCGATGGGAATTTTTCCGTGTGGGCCAGGAAGGAAGCCTTACTTCAAGCCAGATATAGTCTTGAAATTGGACCGAAGATTTTACGTTTTTACGAAAATTACTTCAAAATTAAATTTCCTCTTCCAAAGATCGATATGATTGCGCTGCCTGATTTCTCAGCGGGTGCAATGGAAAACTGGGGTCTAATAACTTACAGGTTCGTAAAGGATTATTTACTGTTGTTAATAATTAATCCAGTTCAGTAATAATAATATTAAAATAACCAATGCATGGGAGTCAAAGTCGCTAGCCAATGAGTTCTGTCACATGAGATTGAAATATTGTTTCGATCTTGACTTACAATTAGAATAATAGTAACAAATATTAGGCACTACAGTTCGTTTACCTTTATCTTTTACTAGTGACCCGCCCCAGCTTCGCACGGGTGCAATGCTGATACTAAATATATTTTTGTTTTGTTTAGATTATTATCGAAAAGGGGAAATCTTCAAAAGATACCCCCTGAACATACTAAATATACTACAGAATGTCTTTATATACAACATTCACAGTTTTTTTGTCATTAGATAATACAAACCGGCCTCCCGGCCGGTACCGCCGCAACCGCTGTCTCTGCATTTTAAATCTGTAATATCTTCGAAAATATTCATTTAAATTACATGCTGTAAAGGGCCATATTGATCTATATTAAATGCACAATGTATTTAAAAGTACTTAATTGGATAAGAATTAATGCTGTATTGCCTACAATCGCTTCGTAAATAAGTCATTATTTCTCATAAAAAGTAAAGTATAAAAATGGTTATTGTGGGTTATCCCTAAGAGATAGACATATACCATCCGGGACTTTTTTGTAGACCCTTTTAAGATGTACAATATTGTAGTACATTATTTTGATCTATCTCGTAGGGTTCAGCCAGCGTTTGCAATGTAAGGGCAAAAAATGTGTTTATTTACGACATCACATTACAAACCTCTAAAATTATCAGCGTTTCTCTACTATATTATGCATGTATTATACATATAAACATTCCTCTTGAATCACTCTATCTTTTAAAAAAAACGCATCAAAATCCGTTACTTAGATTTAATGATCTAAGCATACATAGGGACAGACAGCGGGAAGCGACTTTGTTTTATACTATGTAGTGATTACAATTCATCATCATAAGGTCGTCAGTCCTAAGACCACTTCTTCCTATCCTGAGCTAATCTTCGCATTTCCCTAAAACTATAACATCCCACATCCCTTGACGGTGTGCATCCTTGTCTGACTCCTTTCCTAATATTTACTTCTCTACATTGTTGCTCCAGCTCTATAACAGTCTATTGCTCTTTACACGAAATAAGTATCACTCTTCCATCTCTGTAACTCATCCCTGTATTTTTAAGTATATTTACCATCTTCTCTCTCCCATTTAACATTGTCAAAAGCTTTTTCTAAATCTACAAATCCTATGTACGCGTTCTTTCTTTTTCCTATAGTTCTCTCTATTGTTACCCGTAAAGCTACAATGACTAGTTTCTTCTAAAAGTGTGTTCTTTTCTTAGAGAAACGGCAATGTTGTATTTAGAAGGTGTCTCGGATAAAGCAACTTTGCAGCGAGTTGCTACTGTGATCTCTCACGAACTGGCCCATCAATGGTTCGGAAATTTAGTGACACCGAAATGGTGGACGGATTTATGGCTAAATGAAGGATTTGCCAGTTACATGGAATACATTGGTACCAATGCTGTAAGTCTGTTAGGTAATCCTCGAATTGAAGAAATTTCTTTTACTAACATCTTCTAGATTTACCCTGAATGGAACGTTTTGGACCAATTTGTGGTTTACGAACTTCAAAGTGTATTTTCTTTGGACGCTCTAAAATCATCACATGAGATATCCGTAGAAGTTAACAATCCCACAGAGATTAATGATATTTTTGACCGGATATCATATGCAAAAGGTAAATTTTTCGTTCGATTAGTGTTACAACAGACCGCTGCCTTCGTTTCCGCAATTGCGGAAGCTCCGCATACATTTTCACATCTGCTTCTGCATTTGGTTCCGAATTTTTATAACGGAATCTATTTACTAGTGTTTTGTATGTTGATATTTTCCAATTTTATTCTTTATTGGTTTCCTACTTTAATCCAAAAACGTCCAGGACATTCAGCATTCTCCTAATTTATTTTGATTTCCAAAACACAGTTACTGTTCGTTTCAAGAAATTAGAGATATGTCCCTTCCCTTTATTAGGATGCACCGTAGCATAATTCCAAATTCAATCATATTTATCAGCGGAGCTCATTTCTCCACCGATCATCGAGCGAGAACTAGACAAAAGTGTACAGTAACATTTGCAAAATTATTTAAACTGTCTCGTTAAAATTTAAGAATATGCTTTATTTAAAAGCATATTTAGCCAAAAATAATAACAAGTGAATTAACTTAACGTTCTACACACCTATAAAACTTTTGCTTTGTTTTCTATTGTTAATTTATATACATTTTTGTTTTAAGAAATTGCTAAACATTTTCGTCTAGTACTGTACA